TGTATTTTGATTTGCTGGTTGAATGTAGCCACGATAGGCTATCCAGGGATATATTATGAATATACTCTCTCTCTCTCTCTTTTTCATTGGAACATCTCTTTCATCCGCCTTCCGAACTTCCCCCCCAGGCTCGCGCTGCTGCAGCATCCCCATCTCGGCCTGGTGGACTCCATGGGCGAACTCTTCCTGTCGTTGCACGGCCACCGTTGGCCCGACTTGGAGCGCGCGCTGTGCCACGAGAACTACTGGGCGAAACATCCGCCCCCGCCGGCGCTCGGCCCGGGCGAGGTCGGCGGAGGCGGTCGGCCGAAACAGCGCCGGTGGCCGCGTCCGCGGTGGCGCTTTCCGGGGCAACCGCCCCGGCTCCAGAGAGAGGCCGGAGAGGGAGAGAGGAAGGCTCCGCGGGAGATGGCGGAGGCACCCTCCATTTTGCATTTCAATGGTGCCTTGGGCGACGTTGAGTTCGAGGTGTTTTGGGATTTGGTTTGGGGTTCAGACGGCCAGATGTTGGGTCATCCACCCTTTGGGTGGGACAACCCTTTGGGTCGCGCGCTCACCAACCAGTGGTTGCAGGAGACAATCCCTTTTTTGGGCGGACCCATGGAGACCCCTTTAAAGCAGTTCGTTCTCTTCCTTCCTTCTGTTAGGAATTGGTTGAACCATGCACTGTCCGCTTCCCCCGGGACTCAGGCAATGGCAAGCGCGTGCTGTTCTGGTGTATTCGAGCTTTTCAGCAAACGGGCATCCTCTCAGGCAAGGATGGACAGGGGTCGCAATGCACCTTCTACAATGAAGACGTCGGTCTCTGGCGACGGTATACGGCCAGGCGCCCAGGCGGTCTCCGAAAAAGATGCTTGAGCGGCCGCTCGAGTGCGCCGCGCCTTTGGCGGGCTTTGGCGGAAAAGCCGGCGGGGTTCGCGGGTCACGTTAATTGGTCTCCCGTGACTCAACATCCTGGGAGTCAAAGACATTCAAATAAAACCAATGGTCTCGAAGTTCGAGACCTGATTTCAGGTTTTTTCTCTCATTCAGGGAACATGATGTGAACCGCTCCTTTTCCCCCCAGCCCTCACCCGAAACGAACGACGCTGAATTGTTTGACCCCGTCGAACGACGTCGACGCTGAAGTTCCGACCCGCTCGGAGCATGCTATCTGAAGTGCTTCGGGGATCCTGAGATGGTGTCCTTTGATGGTGCGAGCCGTGCGTTTCCTTTCTATGCTGCACACGGTTCAGCACTCTAGGCTAGCGAATCCAGCGATGAGTAGGCCTAAGGACATATGGCTTGAGATGATAGATTGATTGGCATCCTTAGTCAATCTTGGTTCTGCGGCTCTCTGGCCTGTGAGGCGGGCGCATAAGTGCTCGCTGCGAGCTGCGGTCCTTCCGCTGCCACTGCTATTGCCTGGATCGCAACCAGAAGAAAAGTGCGCCTGCGCGTAGTGCAAGATGGCGCACAGGAGGGAGTGCCCACATGTGAACGGGAGTTGAGAATTGCTGGGGGTTCCAGAAGGCAG